CAGGTGGATCTATTTTTTCAATCCCCAATAATATTGCGCTGAAAGTAGATCCCCAATATATATGTGTGATTGGTAGGGTAGTATTAGGAAAAAAAGGATAAAGGTAATATAAATCTAGTGAGTGAAACGTTCATCTCGAACCAAATACAGCGCTACAGTAAAAAGGGGTGTGCCAACAATAGTCGTTGTTTTGTGTGACATCTACCCACCCATATTTTGCATCCTTTATATAAAAGGATGAATGACACCGTTATCTCACATTATAAAATGTGAAAATCTCAGCTTATAGAACTGATACAGAAATTTATGGTAACTGTCTTTATGGCCAATGCTTTCGTCATTTTGGAAAGATGGTCTTTTTATTTATTTATGTATGTTTTTTAATCCTCACCCAAAGATATTGTCCCATTGATTTTTTCAGATAGAGTGGAAGGGAAGGAGAGGGAGAGAAAGAAACATCAATGGGAGAGAGACACATGGATTGGTTGCCTCCTGCATGATCCCAACTGGGCCAGGGATCGAACCTGCAACCTAGATACATGCCCCTGACCAGGACTCACACCCAAGACCCTCTGTTCCACAAGCCAACACTCTTACTGCCGAGCCAAACCGGCCAGGGCAATATAGTCTTTTTAGACAGTTAGGTCTCCCAGAACATTTCTTTTGTCTCCTAAGTGGATCTGGGGAGAAAAGGCCCAGAACCATCCAATTTTAAGAACTACGACTAATTTAAGATCATGTGTAAAGAGCAATACTATTTTACATTTTATTAAGCCAAAATAAAAATAAAATCAAAAAGGAATTTATCCACTCACAAACTCTCCACAATACAGCCATTACGAAGTATCTTATTTCTTCCAACACATCTTGATTGTAAGGAAACCTGAGACGACCCCAGGAGGAGGTTGAATGCCTCCTCCTTGACATTGGGCAAGGGAGTCTGGCATCTGGAACCTACAGCCTGGAGTTTGTAATTCTGGATTTTATTTCCAGATCGGACGCCAACTTTTAGTGACCCATATAATTTGCTTACCCCTCAGCACTGCATGCTTGGTTCTATCCACCGGGTGAAGTACCATCTATCTTCCAGGGTACTGGGCAAAGGTTTGATCTGGGCTTGATGTTCCACAGCCCCTGGGGCGTAGGCAGGGATATACTTAGAGCACCGACCGACAGGTGAGCCTCCTTTGCCTTTAAATCGCAAGTCAGTTCTGCTAGTTTGATGCAGGTGCCAATAAGAAAACGCAAACAAATCGGAAGGGCGGCAGCAGGGTGGCCAGCCTCGCCAGGGTGTTCCCTGCAAACACCGCGTGGAGCGGGCACATGCCAAGCGAGACCTGATGCAGCTTGTCTCTGGATGCGGCACAATTCATCACAGAGCTCCCTGGGAGGGAGTTGGAGGACTTCTGCCCAAAGCTTGTTTTCGGTAGTGGTGGGCATGCGTCCAAAGAGACTCTAAGAATCTAGATCTCTCTCTCGCTTCCCCTCGGAAGGACCTATGGAGGCCCCAAAAGGAGAGGAAACTTCGTGAGGTTGGGAGAGAAGCTGGTGACACATTCAAAGCACAGTCTGTCCACTTCTCTCCCACGGCCTCTGCTGTGGCTGCTGCTCCTGCCCATGCAGGTACTCTCCACGCCACGGAGGCCCCCACCGCCAGTTCTTCATCCACTGCCACCCTCCGGAGGGGGCGCATCCTCTGCATCTGGTTCTGCGGCTCCCCCAGCGACGCCCCATGTCTGTCAACAACTCCACCACCAGCAACGGCTCGCTGGCCCCTTGGGCAAAGATGGGATCCCCATAAACAAGGGACAAACTGAGGGGAAATAGTGATGCCTCGTGCAAGTGTGCAGACTGAACTCTAAGCCCGCAACGGTGAGGACGGCTTCTGCGTCTCACCAACCAAAAATACAGTCCCTCTGATTTGGAATTTCAGCCAAAGTCGTCTACGAAACCCAAACCAGGAAGGTTTCCTAGGACAGAGACAAAAATGGAAGGACACAGGGAAGATGCTTAGCTGGTGGAGGAATGAGAGAAATAGCAAGTGCAGCCAGGAACGCACTCCGAGAAAGATTTGCAAGGGAATCACCAAAACAGGAGCAGGGGAAACTCAAGCAAAGCAACGGAAACACCCGAAATGCCCAGTAGTACGAGCCCGCACCCCAGACTTGGTTCCTCATCCTCTCCTCTGTCTCTGCTCTGCCCGGGCCCCACAGGAGACATCATAATTACACTCGAGGGTGGAATTGAGTATTGACATATGGAACACAGTACTCAGTGACTCTTTGCCAAATAGGATTGAATCGTCAATAATCTGTGCTTGACCCTGAAGCGTGTTAATACAGAAATGCTCTGCTGCTCCGCACAGGATGAGGTGGCCTGACCTTATGGGGGAGGGACTGGGCTGGGATGATGGGAACATCCTTCTCTGGTGGTGAGGAACGGGAATTTAGTGGTAGAAACTTCTTTCGACACCTTCCAAAAATCTTGAACACATTCTTTTGGGAATGTACGAATGGATGAGACTCAACGATAACAGGTTATTTTTTCTGGGGAGCCACTTTTAAAGATGTCAGTCCATAAAGAGTCATAGAGGACTCCTGCCATGGAAACTTGACCTCATGACCATGATGTTTGGAGACTGACCTGGCCGTTCTGTGGAAGATGTCCATGATTGCTTAAAATAGCCCACTGGGACTTCTCCTGTCAACCCTAATGAAGTCTTCTCTTGGGGGGGGGGCACTTTGAGCACATACACACTCTTACATTCCAAGAGAGTATGCTGAGATATTACTGTTTCTTCATTTTTCTGGTGATTCTCTTTGCATTGCAAGGACTAATCTTTAGAAAGAGGGAGGGTGAAATAATACCAACTGGGCTCTCAGAATGGAATCTGGACCAGGAGGGCCATGGACAACGGGCCCTGGGAAGCTTCAAGCTTGGACCACAGGCCTTCCTCTTTCTTAGACACTTTTTTTAGTGTAACACACACAGAACCGAGCAGATTGAAAGAAGGGAGAGTTCATTAGATTCTTTAAGTCTTGTGTTGTAAAATAAAATCGGCCAGGAAGAGGTGAACTTGGAGTCTATTTCACAAGGGAATTCCAATAGAACTGTTTTGGGAGAGTCAATGTTTTAGGCTCATAGTTGTGAAAACCAGATTTTCAGAGATCAGAGGTTGAGTCATTATATTATTGGTGCCTTCAATGAAATGCATTTAAATTAAGTTGTCCCATTCAGAAAGCTCTTGTCAAAAGTATTTTTCCTTTGTATTTCGGTTTTTACTTTCAGGGTGGAAATTTAGAGCATGAATCCCAAGGATACAGTGGAAAGTAATACATTTATTCATGGATCACATATCAACGAAAGAGAATCTTCTACACTTAAGAACACTGCTTCTAATACTTATAATGAAGGGTTTCACTGTAACATGCAGGACCCTGATATATAAAGATAATTAAATGTCAAATAAAAAATAATATACTGATTCTGAAAAAAGAGTTTAAAAATATGATGCCTTTATTCACATGTTGCTTATGTTTTGAGTCATCTGGGAAAATGAAACATAAGGACAGTGACCAAACATGGCGCGTTAAACTATTCATTTACAAAGATTCTCTAGGAGTTTCATTAAAATGCATGTGCCCAGGATTAGTTAGATATTTTGATAAGTCTTATACTCTCTAAGAGAACCTTCATGGAAGTTGAGCCCCTAAATTGGAAGCATAGAAACATGGTTTGGTCCTTGAAAACAATGTTTTACTCTGCCTGTTCTTTTTCTTCTCTTGAGGGGTTTTCAGATTTAGTAAGGTCTTCGCACATTTTGAAAACCATGTACATTTAACTCCTGAGACCACAGAGATTCTCCTGCTCTTCTGTGTGAGGGCTTCCCACCAACCTCTCCAAGCATGGTTTTTGGCCAACTCATTGTGTATCTGTTATTCTCTCTTGCACTTTGGTCACGGGTCACGAGGCTGTGAAGTATGCGATCTGAACCCCAGCGTGATAGACATTCTAGGCTGTGATCTACTACCTCCCCTATGCCTCCTGGTGCTCAGTCCTCATCTCTGCAGTGTGGAAGAGAAGCCCCCTGACCAGGCCATCCTGTGTCTACATGTCCCACGTACCTCGGGCTGCACCAGGCATGGGGGTGCTCCAGGAGCTCCCTGGTGAACTGAATTAAGCTGTGTTATGGGCCAGAGGGGGACCAACCAGAAAAATCACCATTAAGTTCCGGGCATGTGATAGCCACACCCACAGTTAGACACCTAGACAGACACATCTAGAAATTTAACTTTCTTCTTCCTCAAAGAGCCAATCATAGCACATATCCATAATCTATTTCGAGATATCTAATTCTATACCTATCTGTATCTATCTATTATGGGTGATACTGTTTCAATCATATAGTCCCTATATCCATCTATATCAATATGCCTATTTAGATATAGGTATGTGATATAATTGGCCCTTTAAGAAAATTAAATTTTTTTTCTTTATTGATTTTTTTTTTTTTTAGAGAGGGAAGGTAAAAGGAGAGAGAGATAGAAACATCGATGAGAGAGAATATTGATTGGCCGCCTCCTGCATGCCCCCCACTGGGGATCCGGCCCACAACCTGGGCATGTGCCCTGACCGGGAATCGAACCAGGGACCTCTTGGTGCAGGTCGATGCTCAACCACTGAGCCACACCCTCTGGGCATTAAATTTCTGTCTAATGTTATCTAGCCTCATCCCCATGAGGTATAGAAAAACAGCTTTAATATTCCCATCTAGTGGATTTAGAAATCAGGCGAAGACAGATTCACTTATTTGCTTGAGGTCATACAAACGAATCCTGGTCTGCAAAGTGCTTCTAACCATTCAGTATCTTACTCCCATGACCCTCTTGCTTCTTTGAACATGAGAAAGATTCTCATATATTTAACACCTACATGACAAGAACAAGTCGGGTGGAAAGAATGGACAACACACTAACCAGATAACAGAAGCACGTACTCACCGCCACTGTGACCGCACGCACGGGACAGGTGCTCAGGGTCGGGTCGTCCGGTCTCTCCTGGTAGACCACGTGGTACTGGGCGATCACACCATTGGGGGAGTCTGGCTTCGCCCAGGTCAGCAGAACTGAATGGGCACCGGTGGCTTGAGCTCGGGGCGCCCCCAGATCTTGGGGTGGGGCCTCCAGCGTCCGTGCCGAGGACCAAAGACTGTCCACCGAGCCCCTGGAGTTACGGGCTCGGACCCGATACTCGTAGAGCGTGAAAGGTCTCAGAGTGTCTGCCGTGTCCGTGAACCTCAGGGCTCCTTCTGACCGCACCAGCACCGGGGTCGCCTCCTCTGTGCCCGCGCGACGTCTGCAAGGAAACCGAGGTGATGGGTGACACCTGCCCACTCCAAAGCCAGGGTGGCGGACAGAGCCAGAAACAGCTTTCTAGACGACTGTGTTATCAACTCCACTTTTCAGCTGTCTCCCTGGTGTCATATGGAGACCAGATAAAAGAGTACCCCGGGGCGATCAAACACCATTTTAAAAATGTAGTGTGTGTGTGTGTAGATAGATATAGATATATTTATATCTTTATATATATACTTATACATATTTAGATAGGTAGATAGATAGATGATAGATAAATATTTGGCTAATCTTAAAAAGTGAAACATCACCCATAATCACATTTTCTTGTAGTAACTCCAGACTTTTTCTTAAAAGAAATTATGCACGCACATACATAAAAACATTAAAAAATATTTAAAAATTAAAATGAGAATGCAGAACACCCATGTAAGTACTACTAACACTTTTTGTGTAGCTTCTGCACCTTTGCTGGTGTCCGTGTGTGTGTGCGCGTGCACACGTGGTCAGGTTGGGGTTTTACTTCTTGCACAACGGGAACCACCTCACACCCCGTTAGTGGAGGCTGATGTCATCGGGGGCTCGTTTCCTTCCCGGCGGATGGATTGCAGCGAGGGTCCCGGTTTGTTTTGCTCTCCCTGGACCTGCATCTTTTGCTAATCTCCTAAACTCCCTCTGAGCTTGGCCATGTGACTCTCTTTGGCCAGAGGGACAGTATGACGACGAGATGATGAAGGGACACACTTGAAAGTATTTGCACAGGGAGGCCGACCCTCCGCTCCTCCTGGAAACACACGCTCTTGTGTGAAAAAGCCCAGGCGAGCTCACTGCAGGATGAGGGGCCGGGAAGAGAGGCCACAGTTTGGATCCCCCTGTACCCCGCACAGGCCGTTTACTTTTGTTTCCGGGATGTCTTCGACATGTCTTAATTCAAATTCACTCCCTTCATGTCCCTTGTTTCTCTTCTTTTGAATGTTCTCTTCTTGAATAAACCGCAACCTTCCCAGGTAAGGGCCATTTTTTAAAGATTCATTAACCAACCCTTTCTTGAACATGTATTATACACCAGGCCCTGTACCAGGAGCAGAGATGCACAAAGAGAAACACCGTATCTAATGGAGCTCCTGGTGAGCGGAGAAGTAGAGCGAAATGCACATGAACAAAAATAACGTGGTCAGTCGCAGAACAGGGATTTCCTTTAAGGATCTTTATAGGGTAAAAATCAAATTCCTTTTATTTTTATTTATTTTATTTTATTTTATTTTTTTTAATCCTCACCCGAGGACATTTTTCCATTTTTTGTTCAGATAGAGTGGGAGGGAGAGAGAGGAAGAGAGAGAGAGAGAAACATCGATGTGAAGGGACACATCGAGTGGCTGCCACCCTCACGACCAACCAGGGCCGGGGACAAACTGCAACCGAAGTACGTGCCCTTAGCGGGAACCGAACCCGGGTCTCTCTGTACCGCAAGCCGACGCTCCAACCGCTGAGCCAAACCGGCCAGGGCTCAAATTCCTTTTAGATATCCTCTCCAAAGCCTAGTGAAATGCACAGTGCACTCAAAAAAATAATTTTGACTGCTGGAAAAGAGCATTGTTTAATTCCATAGTTAGATTTATTGCTATTAAAACCAGAGCCCATGCACTCTCTTTTGGTAGTCAACATGGAGAGCATTTAACATCTATATAAGGGCAATGAATTGTCAGCTGTTGGGATGGCCCCGATGACCTGATATTTATATCGCCCAGATATAAAATCACAATGCAGACCTGACCAGTAGGGGTCGCTCCTGAGGACATATGGTGGGTTTATTTCTGCATTCCCAGCACCTGAGCCCAGTAAGTGTTCAATACTTTTTTTTTTTTTAACATTTTTTTTTCCTTTATTGATTTTAGAAAGGAAGGGAGAGGGAGAGAGATAGAAACATTGATGAGAGACAACATCAGTTAGCCGCCTCCTGCATGCCCTCCACTGGAGATTGGGCCCACAACCTGGGCATGTGCCCTGACGGGGAATCAAACCAGTGACCTTTTGGTGCATGGGTTGATGCTCAGCCACTGAGCCACACTAGCCGGGCTGATACTTTTTCTTCAGATGAATGGCATATAATTTCATGGCATGTCTCATTTCTATCAGCTCTTTTTTCCTATCGGGGATAGTATTCCAGGCTGGGAAATAATGTACCCAAGAGACGAACCTCTTCTCTTCAGCTTACTCACTAATTGAGAAGAGACTGATGAATAAGTCAGTATTCCTAAGCCACGAGGAGCATTTAATTAACACACTCTTCATATGCCAACATATTCACATCCTGCCAATCAGATTAACCATCAAAACAGGAAGGGTTATGAAGACAAAGTACATGACAGCGCCTTTCACAAAGACGAAGGGTATTGCAAGTCTTTGGCTTGGGGACTTGGATGATCCTCCAGCTGATGAAGCGCTATGACCTGAGTCTAAGCAATGACAAGCGTCCTGTTGGAGGCAGAGGCTGCGATCACCATTCGGAAGACCACCTCGGACTCCTCGGACCGCCCACGGGCCAGATTCTGCACTCAGTGTAGGTTTGCAGGGTCTTGCCTTTGTACTTGGGGCAGACACCAGGTACCAGGTGTGTCATTGGGAGGAATCCATTCTAATGAGGGACACAGGGATCCCAGCCAAGGTCTCCTCTCAATGAGTTTCTCCAAAGGTGTGTTCTAGGAGCAAAATGCAGCCAACGCAGGAACGTCTGTGGGGAGACGACATTCTTGGTGGTGCCTGGCTTCAACCTTCCTATGACAATTCAATTCATTTTTTATTAAACTCTCATGAATCCCCACATTGGGCTATAGCCATGGTTGTCATAAAACTGACATTCTTTAAAAAAAAAAATTGCCTGAAAAGTGTGAATTTTAAAAATCTATACTATGTAAGAGATTGAGTGTTATGTTAGCCTCAAGTTCGAGTCACCAACACGATGAAAGGATGCAGCCTGGTTAATTATTTCTTATCTCTACTGGCTACTTAAGAAATTCACATATGGTGAGGTAAATATTTTATCTGTGGTTTTAAAAAACAGACTATCTTCCTGTCTGAATAAACTGAACAGAAGAGGTTGAGGAGACCACAATTATTCCTAATTTAGTTAAGGTTTAGGCTTCAACCGTTCATTTAACTGGACGTGCTACCTCTTGGGCCCTCTGGATTCAGACAGATCACATCTTAAGATCTCTTTGAATAGCCAAACGGGTGTTCTATGCTTAAGTTCATGTGGGAGATACTTCAATAACACATTTTTCCAACTAGAGTTAATTTACTCCTGCTCAACATGAAAAAGAAAACAAGAATAGGGATTAAAAGTAAGCACTATGTGCCCTGGCCGGTTTGGCTCAGCAGTTGGAGTGTCAGCCTGCGGACCAGAGAGTCTCAGGTTCAGCCCCGGCTAGGGGCAAGTACCAAAAAAAAAACAAAAAACAAACAAACAAAAAAACAACTAAGCACTATGTATTTGAAAAGGTATTCATACTTATGTTGTCTTACTGTAGTATAACCTTAGATTTTTTTTTCCTTTATTGATTAGAGAGAGAGAGGAAGGGAGAGAGAAACATCGATGAGAGAGAACATCGATTGGCCGCCTCCTGCATGCCCCCCACTGGGGATTTGGCCCACAACCTGGGCATGTGCCCTGACCAGGAATCGAACTGGCGACCTCTTGGTACATGGGTTGACGCTCAACCACTGAGCCACACTGGTTGGACCTGTAGAATAACCTTTTAAACAGTTCCCTACAACCCCATCCCCTGCCATGCTTAGTGCTTATCTTCAAATGCAATTAAAACATAAACCTATAACCCAACACACTTCATAACAACTTCACTTATGAAACTGCCACTACCACCTCAAGAACAAAATTCAAAATACTCCAAATTTAGAGAAAGAGCCAGACACAGCTGCAGTCAGAGGAGACAGGTGTAGGTTCTGGTTCTGTCACTTTCTTTAATGACCTTGGGCCAACTCACCTGTGCTGCCTCATGTCCATGTCTCTTTGCAAACTGGAGTTACTGCACCTTTAGTGTATAATCTCTTAGAATTTCTGTAAGACTTAAATGTAATACTGTGCATGAAAACCACTGGGCAAAGGTAATACGTGATACAAATGAGGGACCATAGTGTCCAAGACTGCACTTAGGAAGACACACTCGGCAGCTGTGCAAAGCCTGCATTTAGCAGCAGTGGACAGACAGTGAAGAGGTCACCTCCACAGTCCACTCGAGCATACACGTGGCTCCTAAACTAGGCTGACGGGACAGGCAAAGAAAACACGGGATTTGCAAACTGCTTTGTGAAGGCTGAAACATCCATTTTACAGAGAGAGTGGATGCTCTGGTGTGGGGGAAGAGACTCCAAAGAGCTTCCACAAATTAGAAGACTTACCCCCGTTTAAACTCTGGTGACTTACAGGCACACCTGGGAGACACTGCGGGCTTGGTTCCAGACCGTGGAAATGCAGCAACTAGCGCAATAAGCGAGCCACACGCGTGCTTAGGTTTCCTTGCTCATACAAAAGCCGTGGTCCGATTTCCCGCGTGTGCCCAGATGGCTGGGTTTTCTAAACAAGGCTCCTAAGGCAGTGGGTGGATTTTGCAGATGGTTTTTGCATTTACAAGATTACAGATGTAAGGTAAAGGGAGACTATTGAAGAATCTTCCTTCTTTAAACCAAACTTACTATGAAGATTCCCAAGATGGCCCTGTCTATCCTCATCCGAGGACATTTCTCCATTTTTTGTTCAGATAGAGTGGGAGGGAGAGAGAGGAAGAGAGAGAGAGGGAAACATCGATGTGAAAGGGACACATCGAGTGGCTGCCACCCGCACGACCAACCAGGGCCGGGGACAAACTGCAACCGAGGTACATGCCCTTAGTGGGAACCGAACCCGGGTCTCTCCGGACCGCAGGCGGATGCTCTAACCACTGAGCCAAACCGGCCAGGGCAGATGGCCCTGTCTATACCCTGTCCATAAACAGGTCGCAAAACACTAACATCAGTGCTGTCCCAATGACAGGAAATCTCTTTGGTGACTCACACGGAATCAACAAAGTCACCTAAATAAAACATCGCAGTCCTTGTCACACGTGGTTTCGCTTTCCACGGTTTTGTTACCTGCGGTCACCTGAGGTCAACAGCGGTCCAAAAATAGTGACTTGAGAATTCCAGAAGTAAAGAATTCACACGTTTTCAGTGGTGTGCTGTTCTGAGCAGCGTCTTAACCTCATGAGCTGTCGTGTACTGTCCTGCCTTGAACGCGAACCGTCCCTTTGTCCGGGGTCCCCACTCAGCCCGTTAGTCTAGGTTAACAGATGGACTGTCGCGGGATCACAGTGCTTGTGTCCCAGTCACCCTCTTCTCACTTAACGATGGCCCCAGAGTGCAGGAGTGGTGATGCTGATGACTCGGATATGCCAGGGAGAAGCCATCAAGTGCTTCCTCTAAGTGGAAAAGGTGAACGCAGAGAGGTCTTTTAGGAGGGAGACGGACAGTGGCAACAGTCACATCACTTTTATCACAGGATATTGTTATACTTGTTCTCTTTGATTATTCACTAATGTTGTCCATGTCTCACTGTGCCAAATTTATCCATTAAACTTTATCATGGATATGTATGGATAGAGAAAGATTATTATATATAAGACCTGGGACTGTCGGTGGTTTCAGGAATCCACTGAGGGGCTTGAGACATATCCTCCTCGGATAGGGTGGGTAGGACCTGCTGTATCAAATCAACAGGTGAACAGACACAATCGCATGAATGGTCTTGTCCATGAGAGGTTATTGTTTCTTTTAATTTTTTTTCCTTTATTGATTTTAGAGAAAGAGGAAGTGAGAGGGAGATAGAAACATCGATGAGTGAGAACATCGATTGGCCGCCTCCTGCATGCCCCACATCGGGGATCGGGCCCACAACCTGGGCATGTGTCCTGACCGTGAATTAAACTGGTGACCTCTTGGTGCATGGGTCGATGCTCAACCACGGAGCCACACTGGCTGGACTGTTTCTTTTTTTAAAAAGTCATAAACATCCTATCTCTTTATTGGGACAGACACTTCTTCATAGGATGCTACATTGACAATAGAAGGGAATTATACCGAGGCGAAATCATTTGGGGGGCCTGCAGAGACCAGAGCCAAGCCTTTTCAACATGGGATCGGCAAGTCGGCTGGCTTCTGCAATGTAATGAAAACATCTGCACAGGCCCAACCCCGTCTTTGGCTTGAGCTACATGCCCCTTGGTTGGCGGCGCTGGAAGACAGAGGCAGCGAATGATGGAGCAGACACTACCTGCCATTACCTCCCCAGAAATACTGCAGGCTCGTGGTCATCACTGCAGAAGGAGCTCTCGGAGGCCCCGGGATGAAAAAGAGCTACACGTCTCCCTTCTATTTCTGTCCTTACAAATTTCTGATTTTTTTTTCCTCTCTCGCAGCTATCTAAGAAAAATTTGATATTGTTGTTGTCTAAGCACATTTAAACTTCAGCCGGAATAACAGCCAAGTGATTCATGCGTATGCAGGTGAATATAATGATTGTATCTGGAGCCCCAGTGCGACATTTTCATTTCACTTTAAATAAAAAACAAAATGTATCTATGTCAGTCAGTGCTCTTCGGCTGTACTCGGAGGTATCAAACAGGCTACAATTATGATTGCGAAGTGATTGTGTCACATTGGAGGAAGGTTTATTGCTTTTGAGTCGGCTAGGCAGTAACACATTCTGCTTCATATTACTCTTTATATCATTGTTTGGCTGTGACTAGAATAATCAAATGCCATCAAATGCTGTCAAATTCCATTTACAGTATTTTTCATTGAAGCGGGCTTTCTGCGTTCTATTTCCTGTTTCCCTTCTCTGTAGTTGCCATGGGATGGTTGCTGTCATCACGAGCTTTATTTACAAAACCAACAGAGTGCACCACATCCTGCTTTATAACGGACACTTTATTTCCCTCGATTCGGAATCGGAATTGGATGTGGTTTTCTCATACGATTAGCATTTAGTAGATGAAAGACCATTCCAGGAGAATGCTCAGCTTAGGGCCCGCACGAGTGGGCTTGGCGTAAAGTGTAAATTCACGTCCGTCACTTTTTTAACGTGTTTGTGTGTATTTGCATCAGCTATGAGATTCTCCCGGTGAATGTTTGCTGAGGACAAATTTAGCTGGCTCGTGTTTGGGCAATGCCATCTGCATAACCGGAAATGCAATAATACTTCTTCTTTTCGTGATCTCCCCACAAACCCTTAGCTGATCGCCGAAGATGGCTCTAAACCAAAGGGTTTCGATGTCTCCAGTGTCAGGGGAGCCCAAACGAGGTTGCACGGTGCAGTCGGGGTGCTGGACCACACCGGGGAGGCTGTGAGGATGCTGGAGAGACGGCATGTAGAAGTAGGGCTGAGGATACGAGCAGAAACGTGTTGTGCTCTGTACGCCTGATGTCAATACGTTGCTTTTGGAAGGGCGTCTTCAATCTGCAGATTCTTTGTATCTGCCGCATCTACCTTGCCTAGCGTCTTCTCCGTCTTAGGTCGAGCTATGGCCCAAGTGGTGGAGCCCCATCCCAATGCATATGTTGACCCCTGCCCCGCAGTGTGATGGTGTTAGAGGTGGAGCCCGTGGGAGGTGACTGCCTGGTCATGTGAGCGGAGCCCTCGAGAAAGGGATCCCACAAAACTCCCGCGCTGCCGTCTATTAGCAAGAAGTGGGTGCCCTCGGGACACCGAGTTCACCAGGGCCTGGCTCCTGGACTCCCCAGTCTCCAGACTGGGAGAAATAAATGTCTGTCGTGTATAAGCCACCGTGTATGGTCTTTTTGTTATAGCAGCCTGAACAGAAGAAGACAGACAGACAGAAAGCTCTCAACCGACAGGAGCTCTGGCCCCTTGACTCTGAGGTTTCTTCCTCACCCAGACCCGGGTCTACCGGTCTGTCTCTCATCCTCTTCCTCTTCTCCCCTCCCCCCTCCCCATCTCTGTCTCTGCTTCCCTCTCCTCCTCCTCCTCCTCCTCATTATTCATTTAAAGAAAAATAGAAATGTAAAGCTATGTCCACAGTGACGGAGTGAAGACGTGATCAGGGAGTGCAATAACCCTGCAACCCCAATGTCTCCGTCTCTCTCACACGCGTGCTCCCCTCCCCCTTTAGGTGGACATAGCTCTCAGTTCCGCACGGCAGACTGAACAGAAGCTGCCTTAATGCCATCAGCCAGCTGACAGCAAACTCAGGAGCAGAGGGGACTGCAGAGCTGAGCCCCTTCTGCCTGCTCGTAAAACACCCCAGCTTTGGAGGTTGAGAAAAAGCCTTTCCAACTTCCCCATGGCCGGTAATGGGAGCATCGGGGTTCTCATCTCGGACCTGGTTCTCCTCTGGAATGGACATGTTCTCCGGGTCAGGAGCCCTCCTCATCCAAGGGAAGGCTTTCGAGCAGGGCTCACGCAAGAACGGTACACGGAAGTTGAGGCTTTCTCCCCTTGGGCCATGGGTACCCTCCCAGGTCCAGGTTTAGTCCCTAGTGGGAACTCCAAACACCATCAGTTCCCATCCATCCCTTACGGAAACAGAAAATGCATTTGATGTACGGTCCTGGAATAGTACACCTTCTTAAATAACTAAAACTAAGAGTGACAATCCATGTTACCTGTGAATGGAGTAGCCGATGATAACTCCATTTGGGGTTTTCGGAGGGCTCCACATAATCTCTATGCTAGCCGATCCCAGCGCCTTAAGAACAGGGGGGCTGAGATCCTGGGGGACCGCTTCCCAGGTTTCGCCCAACATCCCGCTGCTAACACCACAGCTTCCTGAAAAGACAACATCGGGACTCTTAGTGGTTTATCGAGCAGGGAAAAGAGTGATTGTGTCTATTGAATGGCAAGACTATCACGAAAATCATTTTATCTGAGCTTTCGTATGCACGTGCCCACACACAGTCGACGCCAGTACTGTGAGTATCTACAGAATTCGAATATTGAAACAGAGAATCGTTATCAGAAGATTCCTTCATTAACCACGTCTTTATGAAAACAGACGAGAGCTGATGCTGGTCTGAACCGAGGTTTCTCTGGCTTGTCAGTCGTTATAGCAATGACGTGATAAAGGGCTTGACTTTCTCAGGTCTGTGCCCTACAATTCTTATGTGCACTTAATACCTCTTTTATTTGTCAATATTTAAAATACTGATGGTTGCCTGGCTAGTGTGGCTCAGTGGTTGAGTGTCAACCCATGCACCAAGAGGTCACCAATTTAATTCCCGGTCAGGGCACATGCCCAGGTTGTGGGCCTGATCCCCAGTGGGGGGTGTGCAGGAAGCGGCCAGTCGATGTCTCTCTCATCGATGTTTCTATCTCTCTCTCCCTCTCCCTTCCTCTCTCTCTCAAAACCAATAAAGAAAATAAATAAATAAAAGAACGACTGTCTGTGAACACACAGGAATCAAACATTTAACGTGAAGGACACTGGATCTTCATAGCCTAGTATTAGAGACCTAGAGATGAAGAAGATGATTTCGCATGCAAATCAGGAGAACATGAACTTAAAACCGTTTCCATGTTGATTCACTGAAGAACGGATCGAGGACAGCAACACCCTTCAAACCAAAATGCCTTGGTCGGTTTGCAGGGAGACATGGGCACGGAGTCAGAATTTCAGAAGGAAGCAGAGCAAAGTCACAGACCTGGCTCCTAACCAGCCCTGTAGGAACCAGTGCTCAGCAGAACCAGTTTCCTATCAGACATGTGACACGGGCATGCCAACTACCTGTGGACTTCAGGATCAGTAGATTTCTTTAACCGAAGATGAAGTAACATCGTACACCAGTATGTGTTACATCTTTTCTTCTCTTAGCCATTGGGTGTTATATCACATATAACATTTAAGGCGGCAAGGGAGTGAGGATCTTGAAGACCTCACAGATAGATGATGATTTCACTGACCACTGGTCTAAGCCACAGAACTCAAGGTGACAGTTCATGTTCATGAGACAGGAGTCAGGGAAGTACTTTAAAATGCCTATGATTCATTTGAGTGTAATTCAACTTCTAAATAATGCCCCCCTTCCCATCAGCCCCTCCTGAATAACATTTAAATAGAATCAAGGTTACTCCATTGCCCATGAAATTTTTGTAATACCCAATTTGTTTTATATCGCCAGTGATTCCTTTATGCGACCTAGGTATTGTTTCTTTTTCTTTTTTCTTTTAAAGGGCCTTATAAAACAAGACTTGGCAAAACCACTATTTTAATATATTTAAATATTCATGATTTAATGTGCAGAAATGCATAATGCTTCCCTCAGTCCCAGGCTCTGATTTTTCTGGGTAAATAGTTCAGTACAAATGAGAAATGAAATGGGAGTGAGTCTTTGTATTTGAATTGAGCATCTATTTTTTTTTCTTATAAAATAACTTTTTTTTTTTTTTTAATAGAAACTCAGAACAAGTGTCTGAAAGACTTTTACCGTTTTGACACGCCTGTATCCTGATCTCGTACTGTGTGAATGGAGCCAAATTGTCCAGCAGGAGGGAGTGACGACGGCCGGCAGGGGAGGCGAGAGGCGCCTCACGTCCAGCCTTGAGCAGGACACTGTACTCCACGGGCATTTCGGGAATAAGGATCCCTGTGAAGGGAGAGAAAGAGAAAAAACACATGTTACATGCTGCACAGAATGGCCCACAAATGTTTGTCTTTTAAGAACAACACATATTTAAGTTCTTGGAACAGAAAGTCATAGTGTTGCTTAATGTAGCAATTAATAACGGCGTGAAACTTAAACTGGGGCATGTTTGCATATTTCAAAAGTACTAAAGGGGCAGCACTCATTTTATTTTTATTTTATTTATCCTCACCCGAGGACATTTTTTTCCATTTTTTGTTCAGATAGAGTGGGAGGGAGGGAGGGAGGGGGAGAGAGAGAGAGAGAGAGAGAGAGAGAAACATCGATGTGAAAGGGACACATGGAGTGGTTGCCAACCGCACGACCCAACCAGGGCCGGGGACAAACTGCAACCGAGGTACGTGCCCTTAGCGGGAACCGAACCCAGGTCTCTCCGGACCGCAGGCCAATGCTCTAACTGCTGAGCCAAACCGGCCAGGGCAGGCAGCACTCATTTTAAGAAAAACAAACAAATGAAGTGAAATAGTTCTTTTCAAAGGTATTTTCTACAGGCAAATAAAAACAAAGGTGCATTTCACCTCAGAACATACAAGCCAATTAGAAAGGATGTCCCACCCTGGCCGGTTTGGCTCAGCGGTTAGAGTGTTGGCCCACAGACCAGGGAGTCCCGGGTTCGGTTCCCACTAAGGGCATATACCTTGGTTGGGGTTCGTCCCAGATCCTGTTGGGGTCTTGTGGGGGGCAACCAGTCAATATGTCTCTCTCACATCGACATTTCTCTCTCTCTCTTCCTCTCTCTCTCCCTCCTGCTCTATCTGGGGGAGGGGGGGAGGATGGCCCATATTTTCCTACGTTAGCTTACTCTTAAAGTACATAAAAAACCCCACCAGTGTTGCTTGTGACAATAACTGTTCTGTAGGCATTGTGTTCGCATCCTGTTTGACATGGGTCCTTGACATAACAGCCCATAAAGTATCCAAGCCACAGTCTACCTGGAGAACTCCCAGTACATTAATTATTGAGTCAAGACAGGCCGCTCTGTCAGGGAGACGCATGGATCTAGATACACACGGAATTTGGTTCAAAAACTTGTCACTTCTCACAATGCTTCCTAAAGAAAGAAGCGCTTGTCATTTGAGCCTCTTCACAGTCTCTTCATATAATTAAATGCCTGTCCATTTTATTTGGTCATGAACAACATACACCCTGGCTCAAGGAGTGAAGGATGTAGTAAGTTTTCCTGCTCAATTTTCTCATTGATCTGATGAACATAACATTTGTGGGTTTAATGATTAACCTCTGGAGCACTTAAGTTAAACTTTGCTCTAGAAACAATGAAATTTCAGCACAGGTCTACCCACAAGAGACAAGGGTTGAAGAATACAGAATTTAAAGGGCAGAAGAGCTAGGGCAAACCAGAGATGCTCTGTAATTTGTGTGAAATTGATAAAAATAAGGAGTCTCTAAGGGAAAGATTGATCATAGGTAGAAGGATTATTACTTATTTCCTTTGGAAAGTGCCAGATTGTGCTGGACTTAGACTGAGAATTTTTATTTATTTATTATTAAAAAAAAAACCTTTTCCCCTCCTTTATTGATTTTAGAGAGTGAGGAAGGGAGAGAAAGAAAGAGATAGAAACATGGATGAGAGAGAACACCGATTGGCCGCCTCCTGCATGCCCCCCACTGGGGATCAGGCCCACAACCTGGGCATGTGCCTTGACTGGGAATCGAACAGGCAACCTCTTGGTGCAGGGGTCGATGCTCAACCACTGAGCCACACCGGCAGGACCAGAATTGTTATTTTCAATATAGAGCCTCCTAGTTCAACTATCCGTTGCCACAGAGAAAGACCCTTAGAAGAAGCCTGTAGGAATAGGTCCTGCTTTCTTCACCCTCAAACTCAAGCGACCTCTAACTTCTATCAATTATTTCTTTAAGAAATCTGGGCTTTATATACACCCAGTAACAAGGAGACTTTGAAAGTGCTGACATGATATAATCTATTTTTCTAGGAAGATCCCTGGCCGGCAGGCAAATGTTGGGTGGAAAACATGAGAGACAGGAGGTAAGGATACCAATTTGAAAGTCTTTGCGTGGTTTCAGCAACAAGACAAATGAAAACAGACATTTTGTTGCATTCCTGTTTTACATGAGGCAGCATAGACGCTCTCTAGTACTACGAGAATGTCAGCTTCATAAAGTCAGGGATTTTATGTTCCTACCCAATGCAGTTGTAATGCTCAGAGTTTAGCACCAAGTCACAGCTCAATATATGTTGGTTGGCTGAATGAATGTTCATGCTGTCATCTCTGTTCCTAGGGCAGATCTTGTAGAAAAGTTTGACAATCATGCCTTTGGAAAATGCCCATCACTCTTGTTGAACGAGACGAACCACTGAATGGAGTCAGACAGACTGCATCCCTCCCCTGCTTTGTCTGTCCCTGGTAAATGACCCAACCCTATGAACGCCAGTCTCTTCATCTGCTCATCGATGGTACCAACAGCCACCACACAGAGAGCTGCAATGATTCAAGTAGAAGACATATGTAAAGCATCCTGCAGGAAGTGAATAAATGACATCTCTACTCAAGCAAATCAAATGGAACACAATGGGAAAAAAAAAAACCCACAACGATGACAATGTTTCCATGTGCCGTCAAACACTTCCGAACCCAACTTTTATATAAAAACTGCTACTCCAGTCCCAAACGAACGTGATATTCGCTCAAGTAAATAACTTTGTAACAGTGTTTTGTTTTCTAGTTTCATTTTTCGTGTGTCCTTGGATATGAGCTCAAGCCAGATTCCGGGTAGATGCTCTACTTTTCATTCTCAGCCGTCATCTAGGGTAGCGTTCCCTTCAATTCGTCCGACGTTGTGCTTTACGGCATGTCTTCATGTCTTCATCCTGCGCCTACTGGTCTCCTTCCAGAAACTTCTCCGCTTAAGAAGACAGGACTCTGAGGGGCTCAGGGAAGACAATGGCCCTTCTACCACCATTCCAATACAGACATAATCTTGATCTAGGTTTAAACATGGCTAGCCAAAGCACAAACCTGAAAATATATTTTCTGCATCTTGAATAATCAAAAAGAAATGTCATATACATATACATACACACACATATATGTGTGTATACATATGCATATACACATACACATATATACACACACACATATATACATACATATATATACATATACATACATATATACACACACACACACACACACATATATATATATTCTTTTTAGGTATTGAAACAAAATGCTCCGAGAAGCTGTGAGCATCTCAAACACTGACATGCATTTAGGAACAAGGTCCCCTCCGCCGTCATCATTTACAGGATGTGACATGACAGTCTCCTGTGTCCCTGCCAATGCTCTACCATCTGCAATGAGTCTGAAGCGACCCAGCCCCCTGGTATTCTGGCGACTAAATGAATTGAAATGGGCATATTTGTGAAAGTCGTCTGGGAAGCCCCCAGAGCAGGTTAGTGCCCGAGTTCATACATTTGTGTCAGACCAAGAGGAGCCGGGGAGGCCCGAGTGAACCAATTTAGCCTAAGTGTAGATGGCAGATTTGTTATTTGGTGTCAAAGTTACCTGTCGCACAATGACAAGCTGCCGCAACACATTTTCTCGCTCACTAAAGAACAAGGATTTCGTTGGTTAATATTCCTCGCGATGCCCCTTTACATAATTTACAACAACTAGATGCTGATAGGTTATTTAACATTTATGAAGTTAAGATGTAATCAGAAAAACCCTGATTATCTTTACAAATAAAAAAGTTAAATTATTCAACTTTTTTCCTCCCTTCTCTGTGGTTTCATTTCACAACGGGTGCGTACTTTACAATGGGATGAGTCAATCAATCGTTTTTTAAAAATCTTGTCTTTTTTTTTTTTTTTAGGAGCCAGAGCGGGAACAATTCTAAGAAGAAAACTATTAATGCGGTTTGATGGTCTCATTCACTTTGAAACATTGTTGCAGTCAGTTTAATGCATGTAACGGTATCAGCCTAAAGTCTCCTTTGTGTAGGTAGGGCTATCTTTTGGGAGTGTGGAAGTAAAACAGAACCCCCTTGAACACACATCCACACCAACTGCACGGGAATTGTACATAGTCTGCAGAGTAGTCTCATTTACACGCTCTGCCGTATTAGATAGCAGGGGTCTTGACAGGAGAGACAGTGTCTCATTCTTTATACCCCTCAGGGTGTCCAGATTCATGCCTCACCCCGGGGTGGGGCTCAGTAAACTTTTTCCTGGTAGTTGCAATGAACAGGTGAGTCCATCTATCCAAAGGCAAACGAACTGCATCTCATGGAGTTTAAGCTACAAACACAGTGACCCTCCTGGGTTACTGGATGGACCATCCTTGAATTACTTTGCCGTCATTCATATTTGCTACATCGACAGCGGATTGTTAAGCTTTTGATCTGTGTCAGAGTAGAGCGCAGAAACACACTCACTTACTTTCTGCACTGTATATGTACAAAAGTGGTGAGAAACTGTGCACAGTGGTTTTGACCACAGGATTTGGAAGCGGGCTCCTTGCAGTGACAGACCACAGCTCATGGCAGGCACCTCCACGGACTCCTCCCATGCTCCCTGGAGGGAAGACCCTCGGCCATGCCACCAGATGCACTGAGCTTGGACGGAGGTATGTGTTAATTTCTTAGAAAAATGCCCAGCCCCTATTACACCTCAATGAAGTAAGACAGGTCTCGTGCACACCCAGGCAAAGGCAACAAAGCCAAGTCGACAAGAGGGACTGCGTCAAACTAAGAGCTGCCACACAGCAAAGGAAACTGTCCACACAACGCAAAGGCGGGTTCACACTGGCAGAGGACACGTGCCAGTCTCATACCTGACAAAGGGTTAACTATCCAAATACACAAGAAACTCATACAACTCAATAGCAACAACAAGATAAAACAAAGCCCAAATATCCCAATTTAAAAAATGGACAAAGAAACTGAATAGACAATTTATC